ATCTTTGGCACGGTGGCGCAACGTGGATCGGAGGTGCCCCGCTCGGCGTGCGGAGCCTGGTGCAATGCGACGGGAGTGGAGCTGTGCCAGCACGGGGTGGGCAATTTCGGGTTTGCACCCCCAGGTAAATCTCCATACTGCTAACCGGGACGGCGGCTCCAAAACGGCGAACCGCGTGGAATTCCCTTTCCCACTTTGGCCCCAGCCAGGACCGAAAGCTGGTTCGAAACAGTCGAAGCCTCTCTGAATGAGCAAAGTTGTTTGCGGTTTGTGCGGGCGCTCTTAGAAAAAAAACGTGTTCGAACAAGGTTCGGATTCGGTTCGAAACAATGGAAACATTAGCATTACGTGAGGGATTGTTTTTGGAAGCAGGTACGAATCAGGTTCGAGTTCCGTGCGTTGATGTATTCAAATAGGTGAAGACTATATGTTGCTGCTCCCGTTGGAACCACACCGTGGCGTTCACGCAGGATGGCTGCGTCGTGGCCGAGTGCGCCGCGGTGGCAGAATTAGACCACACCTCAATCGCGCCCATGTACATATTCATTGGAACTTTTTCGTGGATTTGGGGCCCCTTGAGACCTCACAGGGTTGGCCGTAGCTGAAGCGAGGATTGCACCATCGTTGTTTTATCTTCAGCCGTCCTTGCTCAAGTTAATTTGTGGCGCGGCCGTTATCCTTTCTTTCAGGGTCGCCGTTTGATGCTGGGCGACGCCCTGGCGGTGGGCGCGGCTCTGGCGCAGAGCCACCTGGCGAGTTGACCAAACTGCCCTGGGCATCACTGCCCCGACTGCAGTTTTTGTCGGTGCCCGGCCATCCCGCCTTGCCCGGCGTGCCCCAGCGCTCTGCGGCAGTCGACGGCCGAGTGCGACGTGGAGAAGGGCGCCGTGGAGCTGGGCCCTAGTGCTCGTGGCGCTGGGCTCTTTCGTGGGCGCAGTCGGGAGCGAAGGTCTGAGTTTTGTGATCGGGGTGTGTGGCCGCTGCTGTCGACGCGATGCCGCCAGAGCTGAACCGACCAGAGCGGGAGACGTGTGCGTGGGTGCTCGTGCTGTACACTGGGGAGGGAGAGCTCTGGCAGCAGAGGCGTCGCGTCGCGAGCTCAAGGGTGTCATGGGCGACTAACTATATCCTGCGCCCGGACGGAGACTGTTCCGCGGAGGAGTACGACATGGAGGATGTGAGTATCTCAGCCGTGAAGTACTCAGAGGCGCACTGGCCACCGCCCCCTGGGCTTGCGCGCGGCAGTGTCTACAGGTTCAGGGGGGCGCCGACGCAGCAGGAGTTGGAGGGCGCTTACGATCGGGCGGAAGGGATGGAGCGGGTGGTGCACAGGACTCGCGAGATGGCCGGCGGGTGAAGCCCGAACGCGGTGCCGCCGGGGTGCTACGTCGAGCGGCTGCCGGCGGCGGCCGGCGCCGCGGCGGCGGCCGCGCCCGTGGGCGCGGCTCCGGGGCCAGGGCGCGCGGCAATCTGCGCGGTGTCACGGTCGGCGGGGCGCTTGCGCGCTGCCCGAGCGGGGCGAGCTGTTGCGCCGCCGCCAGCGTCGCGCGCGCTCGGCATCTCGCGCGGCCGCCGGCTTGCGCGGCGCAGGGGTTGGGCGAGGCGCGGGAATCAGCGTCGCCGCGCCGCCGTCGCGCGCGCGATCGGGGGGGGCCAGCTCCCGAACGCGCGCACTCGCGTCGCGCTCGAACTCATCCTTTATTGCGCCTGAAGGACGTGCGGGCCAGATTGCACTGCGCGCCGCCGTCTGCCGGGGCGGCGCGGAGCGTCTGCGCAGGGCTCGCTGGGCGCCGCGCGGCCCCGAGCCGGCGGCTTGTCCGCCGCCCGCCCGCTCTCGGGCGCGCGCGCATTTCCGCGGGCGGGGCGGCGCCGCCGCGTCCGGGGCTTGCGTCGGCTGCCCGAGCCGCGCACGGCGAATGCCTGCCTGAACGACGCCCGCGCCGCGAGTACTCAGCCATGCCGCGGCGCGCCCGGGGGGCGCAGTGCCTGGGCCGCGACTAAGCAGCGCGCGAAGCACACTGGAATCACGCATGCTCTATACTTGGCCTGCACTCGACACGCGCTCGTGCGATTCCAGGAATACGTTTAAGCTGCGCCTGGAATACGCATGGGCTGCGCCTGAGATGTACTTGAACCACACTTGAATCACAACTGTCCAACGCCTGCACTACACCCGAATGACGCTGGATCTTCACAAGACCTTCGCTGGGCAGCACTGGAACTACACTTGCACTACATACGCTGGGGCTACGCGTGAAAATATATGTCGATCGTGCTTGAATTACACTTGAACTACAGTGACTGCGCCGGAACCGCCTTTGAACTAGACCAGATCTCTCCTTGAACCACACTTGAACTGCACTTGAACTACACCTCAGCGTCACTTGAACCGCACTTGGGCTACACCTGAACTATATTTGGGCTGCAATGCTCACGTCAGGGCCACGCTTGAACAAGTGCACCTGAAGGGCGCTCGATCCACACCTGAAATACACTTGATCTACATTTGAACTGCACTTCAGCATCACCTAAGCCACACATGAGCTACGCTCGACCTGCCAATGACTACAC